ATCTTCAATTGAAATTGTAGTGTAAATACTTTCCTGCAACTTTTTTGTTTAATGTTATAGTTATGAGATTCACCCAAGTTGAAATTTGTACTTCTAGTACATCTAGTTAATTCAAGTTCTTAATCTGTTTAAATTAATTAAGGATACTGATTATTCCTATTATCTTATTTTGAGCTTTCTAGTTCTAAGCTTTTCTTATCCTTTGCTGATGACTTTTGAGATGTTTTACTGTTTCTCTCTACTGATTTGGAAGAGCACATTTCATTTCTAATATGTAACAGTTGCCCTTAACTTTTTTATATGTATGTTTAATAAAGTTTAATATTATTCAGTATTTGTATCCTTTTCCCAACAACTTGGCTCCAATCACATAGTTCTCCATTATTGGTGACTAATATTTTAGTTCTATTTTAATCTTTACCCTCAAATTAAATATTTTCATTGTTGCTTTATATGGTCAATATTTCTTTACATTTCCCATTTGTTTACCAACTTTCCAATCATTGTTCTCTTGCATCTCACATCGTCTTTTTCAGTTCATTTTCTTTTTCCTGTAAGTTTAGAAGTATGATGTAAATGCTCTCGTTTTTTGTTTGTCTAAAAGTATTCAAGCATTTTTCTTATTTTTTTACTTTGATATCATTAACATACAATTACATGAGCAACATTGTGGTTACTAGATTCCCCCCATTATCAAGTCCCCATCACATATCCCATTAGTCACTGTCCATCAGCATAGTAAGATGCTACAGAATCACTATTTGTCTTCTCTGTGTTATACTGCCTTCCCCGTGCACCCCTACCTACATTAGGTATGCTAATCATAATGCCCCCTTTTCCCCTTATCCAACCCTTCCCAGCCATCCTCCCCAGTCCCTTTCCCTTTGGTAACTGTTAGTCCATTCTTGGGTTCTGTGGGTCCACTGCTGTTTTGTTCCATCAGTTTTTGCTTTGTTCTTATATTCCACATATGAGTGAAATCATTTGATACTTGTCTTTCTCCATCTGGTTTATTTCACTGAGCATAATACCCTCTAGCTCCATCCATGTTGTAAATAGTAGGATTTTTCTTCTTCTTATGGCTGAATAATACTCCATTGTGTATATGTACATCTTTACTCATTCATCTACTGATGGACACTTAGGTTGCTTCCATTTCTTGGCTATTGTAAATAGTGCTGCAATAAACATAGGGGTGCATATGTCTTTTTGAAACTGGGCTCCTGCATTCTTAGGGTAAATTCCTAGGAGTGGAATTCCTGGGTCAAATGATATTTCTATTTTTAGTTTTTTGAGGAGCATCCATACTGCTTTCCGCAATGGTTGAACTAATTTGCATTCCCAGCAGCAGTGTAGGAGGGTTCCCCTTTCTCCACATCCTCACCAACATTTGTTGTTGTCTTTTGGATGTTGGCCATCCTAACTGGTGGGAGGTGATATCTCATTGTGGTTTTAATTTGCATTTCTCTGATGATTAGCGATGTGGAGCATCTTTTCATGTGCCTGTTGGCCATCTGAATTTCTTCTTTGGAGAAGTGTCTGTTCAGGTCCTCTGCCCATTTTTTAATTGGATTATTTGCTTTTTGTTTGTTGAGGTGCATTAGCTCTTTGTATATTTTGGATGTCAACCCCTTATCGGATATGTCATTTATGAATATATTCTCCCATCAAGCATTTTTCTTGAATACCAGTTTATTGGTAAACAAGTCTAGGTTGGCCATTCTTCTCTTATCATTTGAAGGTATTATTGTATTCTTCCACTTGCTTATATGGTTGAAGTGTCAGTTGTCCATCTAATTAATATTTTATAGATAGTCTTTTCTTTCTTCCTGTTTTAATATCTCTTCTCATAGTTTTACTTTGTTGTGACTAAGTATGAATTTATGTTTATTTATTCTACTTGAGAATCATTTTGTTTATTGAACCTTGAGTATTCATATCTTTCATTAGTTTGGGAAATAATCAGCTATTACGTCTTCAAATACTTTCTCTGTCCCCTTCACTGCCTCCTCTCTTCAGGGTCACCTATATAGAAGACTTAGAATCTCTCACTTTCATTTCCTTGTCTCTTACCTTCTTTCTGATTTTCTACCTCTTTGTCTCTCTGTGCTGCATTTGGGTTAATTTCTTCCTATCTAATTAATCGTCTTTTAACCAATGCTAAATCAATTCCCTGCTGTTTAAACAGGGAGTATTTAAATTGTAACCATTATATTTTTAATTTTTAGAAGTTCAAATTGGTTCTTTATCAGTTCTGCTGGAATGTTTTAAATAGTATCTTGTCTTTTTCTCATGTTTATAATGTTTCCTCTTTCTTTAAGCATCTTAGGCTTGCTAGTTTTATATTCCATATCTCATAATTTTAATATCTGAAAACTTTTTTGGTCAAACTCTGCTCTATGTTGTTTCTGCTGACTCCTCCTCAGAGTGCCTTGTTTCCTTGTACGTTTTGTCATTTTGGATTGTTCACTCATGCTTGGCAGGGTTTTATCTGTTGGGGTCTTGTGAAAGCTATGGAGGATTTATGCCCACTCCTATGTGGAACACTTATTCTTGGCTTAGGCCTGCCTAGGCCAAGCAGGTGACAATGAAGTCAAATTCCAAATCTGCAGGAGGGCAGACAATAGATACAACTTCTCAGGGAAGATAAATAGTTTTACAACCAACCCTAACCAAAGGCCAAGCCTATAGAGACAAGTTCCCTGGTCACGTTTTTTGATACAAAATGGGCATTTTTAAGTTTACTTAATAATCTCACTTGGGTGCCTGGCATCATCTCTGATCAGCCAAGCCTCTGGGTTACTGAAACTGACAAACAACCACAACTCCGAAGGAGCACTGTGTTTTTCATCTCTGCATCAATTTCCTTTATTTTCTAGTTAACTCAGGAGTGCATTTAAAAGAAGATGGGTGTTTATGCTTCAGAAGATTGGAGACTGTTGAGATATAGGCTTGGGGTTGATTAATGACTGTGCATTGAGTCCCCTATACAGAATTTTATTGTTGTTAACAACCATTTGATCAATAAATATGAGAGATGCCCTCTCAAAAAAAAATTATTAAAAATATATGTGTATACTTTAAAAAAAAAAAGAAAATGGGTTAAATTTTATCCAGCATTCAGGCCTACTTCATTTTATTGTGATTCACTTTATTGTGTTTTGCAGATACTGCCTTTTTTACAAATTGAAGGTTTTGCGGCAACCCTGAATTGAGCAATTCTTTCAGTACCACTTTTGCAACATTTGTTCACTTTGCATCTCTGCATCACATTTGGTTAATTCTCACACTATTCTGTTCTTCATTATCATTATATTTGTTATAGTGATCTGTGATCAGTGATTTTTGATGTTACTATTGTAACTGTTTTGGAGCGCCACAAACCATACCCATATTAAACAATGAACTTAATAGATAAATACTGTGTATTCCAACTGCTGCACCAAACCAGCCATTTTTCCTCATCTCATCTCTCTCCCTCTCCTAGGGCTGCCCTATTCCAAGATACAATATTGAAATTAGGCCAGTTAATAACCTCACAATGGCCCGTAAGTGTTCAAGTAAGAGTCATTAATGTGGCACTTCGTTGTTCTTATTTTAAGAAATTGCCACAGCTACCCCAAACTTCAGCAACCACCATCCTTGTCAGTCAGCAGCCATCAACATCAAGGAAGACCCTCCACGAGCAAAAAGATTAAAACTTACTGAAAGTTCAGATGATGGTCAGCATTTTTTAGCAATAAAGTATTTTTTAAGGTTGTGTTTTTAGACATAGTGCTATTGCACACTTAATAGACCACAGTGTAGTGTAAACTTAACTTTAATATGCACTAGGGAATGAAAAAATTCATTTGACTTGCTTTACTGCAATATTTGCTTTATGGCAGTGTCTGGAACCAAATGACAATACCTCCGAGTCTGTGACCAGGAAGGTGGCACTGGGTGTTTTTTAAGGATATATATGCTTCCATAGCCTTCCTCCATGTTATATAGGATCAGTCAGCTTGCAAAGTGTGGCACAGTTTGGTGAGGAGAAACCCAGAAGCAGGGAGATCTATCAGATTATTGCAGAAATTTAGACAAAAGAGGATAATTTGAAGAGCAGTGGTGGTAGCAAAGAGGGAAATAGATGGATCTGGAAGATATTCACTAAGTAAAATCAACCAGGTTTCAGATATCCAAGAAGAGGTGTCCAGTGGTATGTTTTTATAGAAGTCAGGAACTCGGAGGTGAGATTCGAGTTGCTTAAGACATTTGGAAGTCTTCTTTGAAAAACTGGTAACTGAATTCACTAACAGATGCTTAACTGGGGAGAGAGGGTCCTATGGCCCAGCTTTGAGGAATACCAAAATTTTGAGATCTTAAGAAGGCGAACAAGCAACAGAAACTGAAAAAAGTTACACGAAAGACCCAGAAGAGTGTGGCTTTCACTGAAGCTGAGAGATGAGCGTTTCCAAAGGAAGGGAGGAGTCAGCAAGTGTCCAGAGGTAAAAAAAAAAATGACTGAAAACCAGGTATTTGTTTTGGTTACGGGTGGCGGGAGAGGCAGTTAACGACAAAGGCAAAAGCCAGACAGGAATGTACAGGGAAGTAGAAAATGGACGCCACTCCTTTGATTAGTTTGTTTATGAAGGCGAAGACAAAGAGAGGACATTAGCAGAGGAAGAAGAGGGCTGGAGAAGGGATATTTTAAGAGAAAAGTAACTTTGGAATGTTTAAATGACGACAGGACTCGGCACAGGAAAAAGAAAAGATAAATAATAGCCGGGGTAAAAAGAAATCCATAGTACCGGCGGACGGATCCTCTTTGATTACTGATCCACCAAGCTGAATGGACATCCAGAATTCGCCGGTTTCAGTAGAAAAGGGTTTCAGGTCATGCTTTGTTTTGCTCTGCACTGCAGCCTCCACTCTTCCGCCTCGTCCCCTCCTTTCCCAGCCCGCAGGGTCTCTTCCCGCTCTCCCCACCCACTGCCCGCCCACGCCACGCCTCGCCTCGCCTCGCCTCTCAGTGGAATACATAGCCTTCTCCGTGAATCCTTCCGGGTCTCCAGGCAAGGCCACGCCCAGTCTCAATCCTGCCCGCTCCCGACTGGAACTCGCTTCCTGAAATACGCATGCGCAGAGATGTCGCAACTACTTAAAGAGCAAATTTAAGTCTTGTGCCGGCGCGCTAAATCCCGGTCGCTATGCGGGTGCTTGTGGGTGAGGGAGGGCCGAAAGGGAGAGTAGGGGGCGGGTTAATAGAAAGATGATTTAGCCATTGAGAGGTGGGAGGCCGCTTCCAATGGAGGGCACTCTCTCGTGCACGGGCAGCCTGGGCTTGGCCTCCTATCCCGAAATCGGATCTCCCAAATCCCTGTGACCTTTGTCACCTCTGCATTGCGGGGAGGGGACGCGGAGGAGGAAAGAAGTATGGTGTCAGATGGGATGGCATCAGAGGAAGGGCCACATACTGGGCACCCCCCGAGAGGATAAATCACTTGTGTTTTCCGATCAGGTGGCGGGACTGGATTCATAGGGACAGCTCTAAGCCAGCTGCTGAAAGCCAGGGGCCACGAAGTGACATTGGTCTCCCGAAAGCCGGGGCCGGGTCGGATCACGTGGGTATGTCCATCCTCTGGAAGCTGTGGGGCAAGGCCTGGTTTCTGGGTGCAGGGCGAGGCCCCACAGGCACTGTGCTTTTTCTAACAGGATGAACTCGCTACGTCTGGGCTGCCCACCTGCGATGCAGTGGTCAACCTGGCAGGAGAGAACATCCTCAACCCTCTGCGAAGGTCAGCCCGGGCCCTAAAGCAGATACCCCTCAAAGCAGAGGGAGGAAAGTGTGGGATGTTGATAAGAACCTGTGAGCTGTGAAGAATGGAGCTGCCAGATTGAGAACTAAACCCATATCTGGACTACTCATCCCACCCCACTCCTCCATGCCCACCTGCCCTTCTACCCACTCAGCCAGTCGACTTTAGTCCTCACAACTTAGAATTCCCAGAAAAGATATGTCTCTCTTTTCCCTCTACAGGAGAGATGGACCATTTCTCTAAGCCACATTGCAGGGTTTTGCTAGAAATGGGTATGGAAGGGCCCCAAGGAAAGAAAGAAAGGAATATGTGCATATTCAGTGGCTCTTTGTTTCCCCTGCAGGTGGAATGAAGTCTTCCAAAAAGAGGTTCTCAGCAGCCGCCTGGAGACCACCCAAATACTGGCTAGAGCCATCACCAAGGCCCCTAAATCTCCCCAAGCCTGGGTCTTAGTCACAGGTGTAGGTATGGCCAAAATCACCAATCCCCTACGTTAGCCAGGAAAAGGGGCATGGTGGGAAGTATCTTAGGCCCTTCCAGCTATGCACGCCCAGAGTGCTGGTCTTTTCCCAGTGCAGGAACTTCCTAGGGCCTTGATCCATGCATGTGTCTCCTGACCTTTGTGTACTTTCACTGAGACCCTCAGAGCAAGTGGGCACTGGGAGCAGTGCCAGGTAAAGACCCACCTTCTCACTCCTTAGTCCCTTGCTTCTCATGGCAGTTCTTTAGGAGCAGAATTCCTGATTCTGTGTCTCACCTGTGCAACCAAATAATTGCAATTATAGAATATGTAGGTCAGCCACTATTCTAAGTGTTCTACACGTACTACAGCATTTCATCCTCACGAGAATCTTATGAGGAAGGGACTATTATTATCCCCATTCTAAAGATGCAAAAATTCTGCACAGAGAGGTTGTGTTACTTGCCCAAAGTCACAGAGTTAATAAATGGTGTAGCTGAGATTAAAACTCAGCTAAGTCTTTAGCTGAGATTAAAACTGGCACCCAAGTCTTTATTCTTATCCATTGTGCTCTTGTAGCCTCTCAACTTAGCTCATGACTAAAGATAAATTAGTCCAGGACAGCAACAGGTCAGCTCATGGAGAAGCTCAAGGGGAAAATATCCATGACCCTGTCTTTCCCTGGGGATGATCACAAGGGCCAAGGAGGGTGAGGCCAAGGGAAGCATTGACTACAAAGGGCCAGGCAGGACCACGGACACCCAGGGCAAACAGGTGCTGTTTCACCGGCAGCTTACTACCAACCCAGCCTGACTGTGGAGTATGATGAGGACAGCCCAGGAGGGAATTTTGACTTTTTCTCCAACCTCGTGACCAAATGGGAAGCTGCAGCCAGGCTTCCTGGAGAGTCTACACGCCAGGTGGTGGTACGCTCCGGTGAGGATCAGGGGCCTGGGTAGTATCAGACAGGGTTGGAATGTATTCTCTAGGGGGTGTCAGATGGTTGTGTCAGTGGAGCTGAACTTAGAGAGGTTGCCACCACTTCTGGCCAGCCTGCAGATGGGAGGATAGGAAGGCCCAAGGCGAGTCACACCCCTCAGCGGCTGCAGAGCTAAGTCAGCATGGGGAAAGTGAGGAAGGGGAAGCATGGAGGAACAGTGGGGCTGCCTGGAGACTGAGGACCCGCCCTGTCCCATCCCTCTTGCCTGCTGTAGGGGTTGTGCTAGGCCGCGGGGGCAGTGCCATTGGTCACATGCTGCTGCCCTTCCGCCTGGGCCTGGGAGGCCCCATCGGCTCGGGCCACCAATTCTTCCCATGGATACACATCAAGGACCTAGCAGGAATCCTGGCCCATGCACTTGAAGCAAGCCACGTGCAGGGGGTTCTAAATGGAGTGGCTCCAGCCTCCACCACTACGAATGCAGAGTTTGCCCAAGCCTTGGGGGCTGCCCTGGGCCGCCCAGCCTTCATCCCTCTCCCCAGCACAGTGGTGCGAGCTGTCTTTGGGCAAGAGCGTGCCATCATGCTGCTGGAGGGCCAGAAGGTGGTCCCACGGCGGACCCTGGCCACTGGCTACCAGTATTCCTTCCCAGAGCTGGGGGCTGCCTTGAAGGAAATTATAACCTAAGTGGGGAGGCTCATGGCAGGGCCCAAGGCCTGTCCCTCAACAAAGGCCTCCTGTTTAGAAGCTGAGCGGCTCAGGTATTCTACTTGAGAGCCGAAACCATCTGGTTCTTAGGGATTCCTCTCCTGGTTCTCCTCCTTTCTCATTGTTCTGTTGCTCCCCCTTCTTTAACTGAAAAATTACTCTCGCTGTATCAAGTTGCAGTCTCATCAATTTGGCACCTTAATCTCTTCAGCTTCTTGTAAAAGAAATTCCAAGGCTGGTTTCCCTACATGTTCCACTCCCACCCCAATTGTCCTTTATGTTGTATAGAGAATGCACTGCAGTGTAGGCAATAAACATACATTATCTCAGTAGCTTTGCTCATCTCTTTGGCCTAGATTCTCCTGCATTTCAAGGGACGTCATTCAAGATGACACTTCCCCCTACATGGTTTTTGAAAGTTTTAATGAGCAACATCTCCCATTTTGGTCCCTCCATTGCCAAAAGAGCTGGTAACAAATTCAGGGCATGAGGTTATGAAGGTAGTGACTAGATAAGAAATGCTGATCCACATCTGGTGGGCTCTGTGGTCACTGTGTATCCTTGTTCACACAATGCCATTTCATATAGGATGCCAGCAGAGGAAGAGATGAGGCCAAGTCTAGGGCGGCCTTCAGTCTGTCACCACACAGCAGTGAATTAATAAAGCAATTACATATTGGTTCTAATTCATCAACTTGCAGCAGAATAAAGCCAGTATCTGTGTGTAAACTTAGGACATGCTTCTCATCTGATTGGGGCCACTCAGTCAACTAGGGACCCCAGCACAGAAGGGCAGAAGATACTTCTGGCCCTCTGCACACCACCTTCACTGAACGTGAAAGAGGTAAGGAACCTATCAACAACTACAGATAACCAATAGGACTAAAGATGGGGTTGTGAAAGGTGAGACAGAGACCTCCTCCTAAAACCACATATAATACCAAAATATAATTAATACATCTAATCCTGAAAAAGCAACAGGGAAGAAGGCTGCACCAGACCGCATACACTTGGAGAAAAGAGCAAACCTCACAGAATACGGTAACGTACCAAAGCTGTGGCCTGACGGGACCCAAGCCGTTCCCCCACCCCAGCTCACCTGCAGGAAGAAGAGAAACAGAGTGGGGAGGGAGTGGAGGCCTGGGACTGATGAACACCTAGCCCTGGAGATCTGCTCTGGGAGCACAAACCTACATTCCATGGTGATCTGGTGGGGTTGGAAAGCTAAGACAGGTGGAATACCTGGAAAGACAAGAGATTCCAGCTGCTTGTGGAAAACATGTATTCATGTCCGGCTGATCTGGGCAGGCAGTCTGAGAGACTTCCTAAAAGCAAGAGGGCTGCTAAAGGGGCAAGGATTGCACAGAGCTTACTGCTCAGGAGAAAGGACAGGTAGAAAAAATTGTTCGGGTGCACTCTGCCCAGCAGGTTGTGAACTTAAACAATCCTCAGGCACTCCATCCCCCTGGCTGGCAAAGCAACTCCAAGGCCCCCAACCATGATATGCACCCTGATGTCTTCCTCCCAGCTAGCCTGCATCTGGCTCGCAAACCAGCAGCCCCAGCCCTGGCGTCAGGCCAGCCAGAGGTAAGCCCCACCTACAGCAGCTACAACCACAAAGCATAGAGGCTTACATTTGGCCCACTGGTTCTGGCAGTGGAGAAAGACATAGCAGCCCGGAAAAAGGAAACAGCTCTTTCCTCCCCCTAAGGCATCAGCACCACTTCCCTGTGACCCCTGACATCATTCCAGGGGCTGAGCAGCTCCAGAGAGTAGAGCTTCTGGGCACTAGAGGGCACCACACACAAATATGAAACATCTAAAGAACCTGGTTCAAAGCAAAATCTCAACACCAGAGACAGGATCGAGAGTGAATTAATAAATCTAACTGAAAGATGTTTCAAAAATAAAAATCATAAACGTGCTCATAGAAGTAGAGAAAAATACTCAGGAACGAATTTAGGATAGAGATCCAAGCATTGAAAAACACAATGGAGGGAATTAAAAGCAGATTAGATACATTGAAGGAGACAGTAAATGAAACAAATTAGGGAAGAGGAATACAAAGAAGCTGAGGCACAGAGAGAAAAAAGGATCTCTAGGAATGAAAGAATATTGAGAACTGTGTGACCAATCCAAGTGGAACAATATTCATATTATAGGGGTACCAAAAGAAAAAGAGAGAGAAAAAGGGATACAAAGTGTCTTTGAGGAAGTAATTCCTGAAAACCACCCCAATACAGGGAAGGAGATAGTCTCTCAGGCCATGGAGGTGCACTGATCTCCCAACACAAAGGACCCAAGGAGGACAACACCAAGACATATAATAGTTAAAATGGCAAAGATCAAGGATAAGGACAGACTATTAAAAGCAGACACAAAGAGAAAAAAGATCACCTACAAAGGAAAACCCATCAGGCTATCATCAGACTTCTCAGCAGAAACCTTACAGGCCATAAGGGAGTGGCATGATATATTTAATGCAATGAAGCAGAAGGGCCTCAAACCAAGAATACTTTATGTGGCAAGATTATCATTTAAATGTGAAGGATGGATTAAACAATTTCCAGATAAGCAAAAGCTGAGATAATTTAGCTCTCAAAGACCATCACTAAAGTGTATTTTGGAGGGACTGTTACAGATGGAAGTGTTCCTAAGGTTAAATAGCTATCACCAGAGGTAATAAAAAGTGATAAACAAGGAGTATGGAATGTGATACCTAATATATAAAGAATGGAGGAGGAAGAAAAGAAGGGGGGAAAACAAAGAACCTTTAGTTTGTGTAATAGCATACTAAGTGAGTTAAGTTAGGCTCTTAGATATTAAGGAACTTACCCTTGAACCTTTGGTAACCACGAATCTAAAGCCTGCAATGGCAATAAGTACATACCTATCAATAATCACCCTAAAAGTAAATACTCTGAATGCACCAATCAAAAGACATAAAGTCTCAAATGGATAAAAAAACAAGAACCAACTATATGCTGCCTACAAGAGACTCACTTCAAACCCAAAGACATACACCGACTAAAAGTGAAGGGATGGAAAAAGATATTTCATGCAACTAATAGGGAGAAAAAAGCAGGAGTTGCAGTACTTGTATCAGACAAAACAGACTTCAAAACAAAGAAAGTCACAAGAGACAAAGAAGGACACAACATAATGATAAAGGGGTCAATCCAACAAG